ATTCCTGCAAAAATGCAATGCATGCAGAACCTGAATTGTCTTTTCTGAAGTTATCACATTCCTAATTTTGGGACAACCTCCCCTCTGGACAAAAAGATACCCTGTTAGCTTACAGTAACTTGTCCAATTTATATCCACAGTTTTTAGTAGACAAGCAAGGTAGGAAGATATAGTCATTGGATTGATGGGAACAAAGAGAAGCAGAGTCACAATTATAAAGGGAACAGTAAATATTCTTTGGTTAGTCTTGCATGTTATCAGTCCTATATGTATGCTGATTATTGCCTTTTTTGTCTTGGTAGCTGAATTCTTTAAAAAATAAACTCACTCTCTGATTTTGAAACTATAGTCCATGGGCTGATTCTTATCCAAAGCTGTCCAGTTGAGTGTGATAGCATTCATAATGTTTTCACATAGCAAAACTGCACAGACTTTAGTAACGTTTTTTGGTTTCCTCTTACCTACAGCCAGTAATCAAAATTTGGAAAAATGCTTTATTCAGTCTTAAATATAAAGGCCACCTCTTGATTAAGCTGTTTTTGAAAACCATCCAGATATGTTTCCAGCTGCGAATAAGGCCTGGGTATTCAGGCTAGTCATATGTTGGATTTGATTAGAAGCATAATCCATTGGGCATGGAAATGATTCAGTAACATTTCAAAGCGTCTCTGGATGCTAAAGGGTTGTAGTTGTCTACCATGCAAGAGCTGTTTGGATATACTTGGTTTTGGAAAGAGAATTAGATTATGAAAGGAATAATTTCTTGTAGTGCTAACTTTATATTAGGGAGAGGTGACTGGAGTGATGTGATTTGGGCTGCAAACCGCCAATGCATCCTGAGTACTCAGGGAAGTCAAGCACAGGTAGCACAGAGGCTGCGTGATGGCAGTCTCTTACAAGCACTATCACTGTTTTGAATTGGGAGAAATATGCTCACCCAGCTTTCCCGGTGAAGGGACTGGTGATTGAGATGCATTAGACTCACTTCCACTTCTGAGGCACCGTTTAGACTAGGTAAAGAGAGGAAGCACACCCACTCTGAATCATTTTCTCAAGAGCCCAAGGGGCAGCTCCACAATTTGCTGTGCCAGTGTGAAATCAGATCTGACTCTGTACTTCTATTATAACTAGATGAGGCAGGAATACGCAATCACACTGTACAGCAGACATGATGGAAAGAGCTGTGTTTGTGTCACAGTCCTAAGAGATCTGAAATACAAACAGCTAAGAAGCAAATCAAATTCTCTCTCAAGAAATTTGTTGTTTCCAAAATATTTTTGTTTCTTTCAGGAATAAGGTGTGGTCAGGAGGGAAGGGGAGAGATGTAAGAACAAATAATTCTCTCTGCATGGCTCTATTCCAAAGTGAAAGGCATTTTGTAGGTTAGACTGGTGCTGGGAAGAAATACTGCTCTCTTCCTAGGGTTGCTACTTGTTCACATATGACGTTATTTAACTTGCACCAAGTTTTGCTGCCTCAATGGATCCTTCAGTCAAAGGAGGATAAAAACTCTTCCCTACGAGGCCTACTTGATGCACGGAAAGCACTTTGGGATTTTTGAACAAGAAATTGATAAAAAAACATACTAACTATTGCTCATTGCAGAACTGCTAAACAACTTTAATAAAATTTGCTTTAAAAGGCAGGGATTAGATATGGTAGTGTGTAAAAACATCAATTAGTAGAAGTACAAGAAGCAGTCATACCTTTTGTATTTGTTCTGCAACTCCTGCTACAACAATAAGTCTTCAGGGGCACAAGCGGCCATGAGACTTAAAACTCTCTTCTTGAGTCTACCCTTAGCTTTCTATTTTTATAGCTCTAGGAGAAAAAAAAAGATTAACATATCTATTTTATAACAATCTATACGGGGTGAAAAAAAAAAAACCCTCTATGTTTTGCCTTTCAGTTCTACGATAATAAATTACCACAGTTTAAGATGCAATTATTGGTCTTTTGCATCTCCTAACTAATGCATGGCAACACCGCAACTACAATAAAGGTGCACGGGCCCCTCCTGCTCCTGCTCCATGCAGTGGCACTAGGTGCAAATCTGTGAACACACCAAGGAAACGCTCACTGGCATCCCAGGCTGCACGTGCCCATTGGTACTGCAATGTCCATGCCCAAGTGTCCTACAGTGGCCTCCGGCTCTGGTGGCAAAGGGTGGAGGAAACAGGGTGTCTCGCCAGCATGCTGGTATCACATATCCCAGCCGATGTCTCTGAAGGGGCAACGTTTCTACTTGTGTGCCTGTGTACCTGCTGCCCTTAACAATTTTAAAAAATAATAATAAGAGCGAAATATCAAAGCTACTGGACCGAAACACAGCGGTGTGCAGTCAGAAGTCAGTGTGTTATATGCTTCTACTACAGCTGCCTCATAAGAGAATGGAAGAATACTATCAACATCTATTGTGAGAATAATGAAAAGAGCTTTTCAAAATAAGTGTGGAAGCACACTGGGAAAAATCCTTCTATTTATTTATATTGATATCCCTAATAAAATTGCTTTCCACAAATGTTTTGTGACTGACACTGCCTTGCCCGGTATCTGCAATAATCAAATCGTGGGAAGGCAATTTAGCAAGTTTTTTCCTTTTTAAGAGGAGTAGCTGCTTGTTCTTTTTTTCCATCAGTCTGGCTCTGCATCCAAATAGCTCCCTTAGTCTGAAGCACTCGGAATTGGCTTGAATGCTC